ATTTTTAATTATTTTAATTACGCAGGCTCCACATACCATGTGGGGCTTGAACTCACAATGAGGAAAATCAAGAGTTGCATGCTCTACCAACTGAACCAGCCAGGTACCCCAAGGCTTTATATTAATTTATATTTATTTTAATGACTAGTACAGCTATCCAACCCTGATAGTTTCTGTTTTTCAATATTTTCCTGGTTATTTCTAAAATCAGTTTTATTGGGATGCCCAGATGACGCAGTCAGTTAAGCAATCAACTCTTGATTTTGGCTCAGGTCATAATCTCAGGGTCCTGAGATTACGCCCGAAGTCAGGCTCTGTGCTCAGCATGGAGTGTGCTTGAGACTGTCTCTCCCTCTCCCTTTGCCCCTCCTTCTCATGCTCTTTCTCTCTCTAAAGTAAAAAAATCTTTAAAAATAAATAAGTAAAATATAATCAGTTTTATTGAGATATAATTCACATCCCATACAATTTACCCATTTAAAATGTACAATTCAGTGGTTTGGGGTTTTTTTTAAGATTTTATTTATTTATTTGACAGACAGATATCATAAGTAGGCAGAGAGGCAGGCAGAGAGAGGAAGGGAAACAGGTTCCCTGCCGAGCAGAGAACCCAATGCAGGGCTCGATCCATCATGACCTGAGCCAAAGGCAGAGGCTTTAACTCACTGAGCCACCCAGGCGCCCACAGTTCAGTGGTTTTTAGTACACTCACAGGATCGTGAATCCAATTTTAGGACATTTTTCCACCTCCAAAAGAAACTCTGTATCAATTAACGATTGTTTCCCATTCTCCCCATCTCTTTCCCAGCCCTAAACCATTAATCTATTTACTATTTATAATTTGCCTACGTGGACATTTTCTATAATTGGAATCATAAAAGTATGTGATCTCTTGTGACCAGCTTCTTGCACAAAGCACATTTTTGAGTCATTCATGTAGTAGCATATAACAATACTTCCTTTCTTTTTACTGTCAGATATTATTCCATCGTATGGATATACATTTGTTTTTCATCAGTTGATGGATATCAGGACTGTTTCTACTTTTTAGCTATTATGAATAAATCTGCTAATAACATTCATGTATAAGTTTTTGCATCCACCTCTGTTTTCAACTCTCTTGAGTTTAAACCTAAGAGTGGAATTGTGGATCATAACTCTATATTTAATCATTTGAGGATTAAATCATTTGAGGATTGTTTTCAAAGTATCTGCATCATTTTGCATTCCTAAAAGCAGCATATGAGGGTTTCAACTTCTCTACTTCTTCATCAATACTTGTTATTTTCTCTTATTATTGCATCTTAGTGGTGTGAAGTAGTATCTCGTGATTTTGATTTGCACTTCCCTAATGACTAATAATGTTGAACATCTTTTGGTGTACTTACTGGTCATTTGCAGATCTTCTTTGGAGAAATTCCTTCAAATCCTCTGCCCTTTTTTTAAATTGGGTTATTTCTCTTTTTATTATTGAGGAGTAAGAGTATATATTAGGGGGGCACCTGGGTGGCTCAGAGGGTTAAGCCTCTGCCTTCTGCTCAGGTCATGGTCTCAGAGCCCTGGAATCGAGCCCTGCATTGGGTTCTCTGCTCAGCAGGGAGCTTGCTTCCCTCTCCCTCTCTGCCTACTTGTGATCTCTCTCTGAATCAAATAAATAAAATCTTAAAAGAAAAAAAAAAGAGTATATATTAGGGATACAAGTCCCTTATCAGATATGTGATTTAAAAATAGTATTTCCCATTCTACGAGTTGTCTTGATATCATCTGCAGAAAAAAAAAGTTTTAAATTTTGATATAGCCGGGGCGCCTGGGTGGCTCAGTGGGTTAAAGCCTCTGCCTTCGGCTCAGGTCATGGTCCCAGTGTCCTGGGATCGAGCCCCACATCAGGCTCTCTGCTCAGCAGGGAACCTGCCTCCTCCTCTCTCGCTCTGCCTGCTTCTCTGCCTACTTGTGATCTCTATCTGTCAAATAAATAAATAAAATCTTTAAAAAAAAAATTTTGATATAGCCCTATTTATTTACTTATTTATGTCACTTGAGCTTTATATCTCATATTTAAGAAACACTGCCTAACCCAAAGTCACTAAGATTTACTGTTATGCTTTCCTCTAGGAGTTTTATAGTTTTGTTAGCTCTTACATTTAGGTTTATAATATATTTTGATTAATTTTAAGTTTTTTTTTTTTAATTTATATTAGAGATACAAAGTGAGAGAAAGAGTACACAGCAGAGTGAGAGGGAGAAGCAGACTCCATGTTGAGTCCAATGCAGGGCTTGATCCCACAACCCAGAGATCATGATCTGACCTAAAATCAAGAGTTGGATGCTTAACCAACTGCACCACCCAGGCATCCCATATTTTGAATTAATTTTTATGTATGGCATGAGATAGGGTGCCAACTTCATTCTTTTGCATATCCAGCATGGTATATCAATACCATTTGTTGAAAAAACTATTCTTTCTCATTTTATTTCCTTAGACCTTTACTAAAAGTCAATTGACAATTTTTGTGGCTATTTTTGCGTGTTTATTTTTCCATATGAACCTTAAAATCAGCTTGTCTAACTCAATAAAACAACTTCTTAGGATTTTTATTAAAATTGCATTGGGGTGCCTGGGTGGCTCAGTTGTTAAGCATCTGCCTTTGGCTCAGGTCATGATCCCAGAGTCCTGGGATCTAGCCTTGCATCGAGCCCCACAATGGGCTCCCTGCTCAGCCAGAAGCCTGCTTCTCCCTCTCCCACTCCCCTTGCTTGTATTCCCTCTCTCTCAGTCCCTGTCTCTGTCAAAAAAATAAATAAAATCTTTAAAAAATAAAATAAATAAATTTTAAAGAATAAAATTGCATTGATTTCATAGATTAATTTGGGAGGATTAACATCTTTATGATGTTGAATCATCCTATTCAAGAACAAGGGAGGGGCGCCTGGGTGGCTCAGAGGGTTAAGCCTCTGCCTTTGGCTCAGGTCATGATCTCAGGGTCTTGGGATCGAGTCCCGCATCGGGCTCTCTGCTCGGCGGGGAGCCTGCTTCCTCCTCTCTCTCTGCCTCTCTCTCTGCCTATTTGTGATCTCTGTCTGTCAAATAAATAAATAAATAAAATCTTAAAAAAAAAAAAAGAACAAGGGATGTTTTACCATTTGCTTAAATCTGCTTCAGTGTCTTTTAGGAGTGTTTAAAATTTTCCTTGGATAAGTTTTAGGCCATTCTTACTAAATTTATTCCTAAAGATATAACTCTCCATGTTGCTATTGTAAATAGGCTTTTCTCTAACATTATATTCAGTATAAGCTATTTCTATATATGAAAGCTGATTTTTTATGTTAATTTTAAATCCTGATCCTTCACTCAATTCTTTTACTGTATTGAGGTACTTTTATTATCAATTTCCTGGAATCCAGCTATACTATGATCTGCAAATAGATATTGTTCTACTTGTTCTTTACCACTTCTATGCTTCTTCTTGATTTCTCTTATCTAATTGTCTTGGCTACTTTACCTCTAACATAATGCAGAATAGTAGTGAAGATAGTGACAATGTTTGCCTTGTTCCTGATATGAAACTGAAATGGAAATGCCTGTAGAGGTTCCCCATGTAAATAAGATACTACCTTTAATGCTAAAATATATACTTCATCAAGTTAAGTAAGTACTCTTCAAATCCTATTCTCTTAAGTGTCTCTATCATGAACGGGTACTTAATTTTGCCAAAGGTTTTCTCAGAATCTACAGAGGTAATCTTATTGTTTTTTCTTTATATTTATTAACATGGTATATGATACTAATAGGTTTCCTTATATTGTACTAAGACTGCATTCCTGGAATAAATCCTGCCTTAGAACTTCTGCCTTTGTTTTTTCCTCTGCCTAGAATCTACTTTCTCTGGTTTTCATATGTCTAGCCCCTTCATCTATTCAGACCTTATAAAATATCTCCTCCTCAGAGATGCATTCCCTGGACCACTCAATCAAAAGTAACCTTCTAGTTAATCTATAGGACAGTACCCTATTTTAATTTCCTACCCAGCACTTATTACTATTCTCCCTGTATATCCCATATGTATACTCCTATGCAAATATCTTCAACCACTACAACAGTACTAAACCTGTCTTAGAAGTAGATTTATTGCTGTATGCCCAAGATATATAGTACCTGGCATATGTTAGGTGCTCACCAGTTGTTTGCAATAAATCTACTATCATTATGGGCTCACTACTGATACAACATGTGATTTTATCACAGGAATAAAAAAGTAGTAAATAAACTCACCTTCAAATACACTTAGGGCATAAGTCTAGACTTAACATCAAAGAGAAAGCTAGAAACTCAAACAAAATTGAAGTGGGCAATTTTTTAGATAGTCTAAATCAGCGAATCAAAAAAAAACCTGCTAATTAAAAAAGTATGATACTAAAATCAAGGTTTCCTTTCTTCCAATTAACATTTACTAATTAAAATTTCTCATTAAGGGGCACCTGGATGGCTCAGAGGGTTAAAGCCTCTGCCTTCGGCTCAGGTCATGATCCCGGGGTCCTGGGATCGAGCCCCGCATTGGGATCTCTGCTCAGCGGGGAGCCTGCTTCCTCCTCTCTCTCTCTCTGCCTGCCTCTCTGCCTACTTGTAATCTGTCTGTCAAATAAATAAATAAATAAATCTTTAAAAAAAATTCTCATTAAAATTTGTTATAAAATTTATCAGTAAAGGAGTTAACATTTAAATTGGATGAAGAATAAATCAATGTAAATGACTTATTGTATCTAATAAAAACCAAAGGTACTGAGTGTATAAGCCTAATGATTCACAAACCTGTACCCCTGGGGCAAATAATACATTATATGTTAATAAAAATAATTAATAAAAAAACAAAAGTATTCTTTAATAGATTTTAGTATTATAATTCCACCAGCAAAAAAAAAAAATTTTAACTCACAAAAATTAATTTTAACTTTATATAATGGAAACCATAAAAAACAGAAAGGTGGTAAACTCTCTCAATTACCTGTAAAAGATGATGATTTCTCTGAGCATTTTACTTTTAGAAGTTTCCTATTAATAAATACATAACCACAGGGACAAGATTTACATGCAACAGGAACCTGGAGGGGGAAAAAAGGGAAAAAAATATTACTGCTTTACTATTTATAATTTCTGAAGTATTTATGTGACTTTTCAACTAAGCAATAACTTACTTGAAGGTAGAGATCACACTTTTATTAAAACTCCACCTCTTCATAAAAATTATTCAAGACAGGAAATCACACCCATCCCATTCTCCTAATCCTTTATAGTTCCAAGCATACGGTAAATGTTTAATAACAACTAATGTGAGTGGCCACAGGAAGAATGTAAAGTAAAAAAAACTATTTGCTGGCTGGGGTAGGAGTCAAGATAGCAGAGGAGTAGCAGACTGAGATGACATCAGGTAGCATGAGTTCAGCTACATAGTTATCAAACCATTCCAAACACCCACAAACCCAACAGGAGATCAAAGAGAAGAACAGCAATTCTAGAAACAGAAAATCGACCACTTTCTGAAAGGTAGGATGTGCAGAGAAGTGAATCTGAAGCGACAGAAAGACAGACCGTGGGGGGAGGGGCCCGCTCCCAGCAAGTAGCAGGGCAACAAAGCAAAAAATCTGAACTTTTAGAAGTCTGCTCCACTGAAGGACATTGCTCCAGAGGTCAAGCGGGGGTGGAGTCCATGCGGGGACAGTATGGTCTCAGATCCCACGGGGTCACAGAAGGATCGGGGGTGTCTGAGTGTAGCAGAGCTCGCAGGTATCAGAGCAGGGAAGCCGGCTACAGAGACGGAGCCAAGGAGTGAGCTCTCAACTTGGGGTTACCTTAAACCATAATCCGTGGCACAATTGGGCCACTGCTCTTTGAGCAGGGACCCCACAAGTGGCAGATCTGGGGAGACCCACTTTCCTTCTCTGAAGGCAGGAATCTGCTGAGTTTGGAGACTCCAAATGGACCTGTGTGCCAGAGACGGAGGTGCCTGATCGCAGGCGGGTGACCTCAGAGTCAGCCAAAGACCAGGGAGATGGGAGTGACTGAACGCTTTTCTCCAAGGGCACACTGAGGAGTGGGGCCCCGAGCTCTCAGCTCCTCCAGGCCAGAGACTGGGAGGCCACTATTTTCATTCCTGTGCTCCAGAGGTCTAGAGAAAGCGTTCAGGGAACAAAAGCTCCCCAGAGCAAACCCAAGCAGATTATTTAGCCCTTAGCCGAGCCCCTGGTAAGGGCAGCACAATTCCGCCTCAGGCAAAGACATTTGAGAATCACTACAAAAGGCCCCGCCCAGTAGATCAGCAAGAACATCCAGCTAAGACCAAGCTCACTGATCAAGGAGAAGAGCGGAATTCCAGAGGAGGGGGAAGCAAAGGATGGAATTCATAACTTTGTACCCATGATTCTTTAGTCTTGCAAAGTTAAACTTTTGTTTGTTTGTTTTATTATTTTTTTTAAGATTTTATTTCTTCCTTTGACAGACAGAAATGAGAAGACGGTAGAGAGAGGCAGGCAGAGAGAGAGGGGAAAACAGGCTCCCTGCTAAGCAAAGAGCCAGATGCAGGGCTGGGTCCGCAGGCTGGTGCCTCACCACGTCCACCGTGAAGCCCTGCAGCAGCTCCCGCAAAGTTAAATTTTTTTAGTTTTACTTTTTTCTTATTCTAATTTTTTTAACTTTTCCTCTTTTAATGTTTTTTTAACTAGTTTATTATAACAATACCTTTCTTTAAAAAAAAACCTTTTTAAACCTTCATTATGATAGTCATTTTATCCTTCATTGTATCTAACTTAATTTTTTGTATACATATAGGGTTTTTTCTTCTAAAAATTTTTTGGGATACAAACTCTTCTAATAGATCAAAATATACCCTAATCTAGCACAGGACTTTGTTCTCATCTCCAGCCTGAGCAAATTCTCTCCACTTTCTTTTTCTTTCTTTTCCTAACCAACTTATCAATACCTTTATTAGAATTTTTTAAAATTTTCATCTTTACAGTCATATTCCATCCCTTCATCATGTTGATCCTCATTTTTGTATATATATAAGTTTTTCTTTCTTTAAAATTTTGGGAGGTAGTTTCTTCTAAGAGACCAAAATACACCCAAAATCAAGTGGGTGGCTCTGTTCTATTGACCAGTCTAATATACTTTTTTTAATTTTTCTTAAACTTCTTTTTACCCCCTTTTTTCTCCCCGATTGGGGTCCCTTCTGATTTGGATAGCATACATTTTTTCTGGGGTCTTTGCCATCCTTTTAGTATTTTATTCTCTTGTTCATATATTCTTATCTGCATAAAATGACAAAGTGGAAAAACTCACCAAAAAAAAAAAAAAAGAACAAGAGGCAGTACCAAAGGCTAAGGACCTAATCAATACAGACATTGGTAATATGTCAGATCTAGAGTTCAGAATGACAATTCTCAAGGTGCTAGCTGGGCTTGAAAAAGGCATGGAAGATATTAGAGAAACCCTGTCTGGAGAAATAAAAGCCCTTTCTGGAGAAATAAAAGAACTGAAATCTAACCAAGCTGAAATCGAAAAAGCTATTAATGAGGTGCAATAAAAAATGTAGACTCTTGGGCGCCTGGGTGGCTCAGTGGGTTAAGCCTCTGCCTTCAGCTCAGGTCATGATCTCAGGGTCCTGGGATTGGTCCTGCATCAGGCTATGCTCAGCAGAGAGCCTGCTTCCCCCCTCTCTTTGCCTGCCTCTCTGCCTACTTGTGATCTGTGTGTGTCAAATAAATAAATATAATCTTTAAAAAAAAAATGGAGGCTCTTACCACTAGGATAAATGAGGCAGAAGAGAGAATTAGTGATATAAAAGACCAAATGAAGGAGAATAAAGAAGCTGAGCAAAAGAGAGACTAACAACTACTGGACCATGAGGGGAGAATTCAGAAGATAAGAGATACCATAAGACGAAAAAATATTAGAATAATTGGGATTCCAGAAGAAGAAGAGAGAGACAGGGGGGCAGAAGATATATTGGAGAGAATTATTCTAGAGAATTTCCCTAATATGGCAAAGGAAACAACCATCAAAATCCAGGAGGCACAGAGAGCCCCTGTCAAAATCTATAATAGGTCCACATCCCGTTATCTAATAGTAAAACTTACAAGTCTTAGTGACAAAGAAAATCCTGAAAGAAGCCGGGACAAGAAGTCTGTAACATACAATGGTAACAATATTAGATTGGCAGCAGACTTATCCACAGAGACCTGGCAGGCCAGAAAGAATTGGCATGATATATTCAGAGCACTAAACGAGAAAAACATGCAGCCAAGAATAGTATATCCAGCTAGGCTATCATTGAAAATAGGAGAGATAAAAAGCTTTCAGGACAGAAAAAACTAAAAGAATTTGTAAACACCAAACCAGCCCTATAGGAAATACTGAAAGGGTTCCTCTAAGGAAAGAGAGTCTAAAAGTAGTAGGCCAGAAAGGAACAGAGACAATATACAGTAACAGTCACCTTACAGGAAATACAATGGCACTAAATTCATATATTTCAATAGTTACCCTGAATATAAATGGGCTAAATGTCCCAATCAAAAGACACAGGGCATCAGAATGGATAAAAAACCAAAACCCATCAATACGCTCTCTACAAGAAACTCATTTTAGACCCAAAGATACCTCCAGATTTAAAGTGAGGGGGTGGAAAACAATTTACCATGCTAATGGACATCAAAAGAAAGCTGGGGTGGCAATCCTTATATCAGACATTTAGATTTTAAGCCAAAGACTATAATAAGAGATGAGGAAGAACACTCTATCATACTTAAAGGGTCTGTCCAACAAGAAGATCTAACAATTTTAAATATCTATGCCCCTAACATGGGAGCAGCCAACTATATAAACCAATTAATAACAAAATAAAAAAAACACATCAACAATAATACAATAATAGTAGGGGACTTTAACAGCCCCCTCACTGAAATGGACAGATCATCCAAGCAAAAGATTAACAAGGAAATAAAGGCTTTAAATGACACTCTGGACCAGATGGACATCATTGATATATACAGCACATTTCATCCCAAAATAACAGAATACACATTCTTCTCTAGTGCACATGGAACATTCTCCAGAATAGATCACATCCTGGGTAACAAATCAGGTCTCAACTGGTACCAAAAGATTGGGATCATTCCCTGCATATTTTCAGACCACAATGCTCTGAAGCTAGAACTCAATCACAAGAAGAAAGTTGGAAAGAACCCAGATACATGGAGGCTAAAGAGCATCTTACTAAAAACCAAATGGGTCAACCAGGAAATTAAAGAAGAATTGGAAAAATTCATGGAAACAAATGCTAATGGATACACAACTGTTCAAAATCTGTGGGACACAGCAAAAGCAGTCCTGAGAGGAAAATATATAGCGATACAAGCTTTTCTCAAGAAACAAGGGTCTCGGGGCGCCTGAGTGGCTCAGTGGGTTAAAGCCTTTGCCTTCGGCTCAGGTCATGATCCCAGGGTCCTGGGATCGAGCCCCGCATTGGGCTCTCTGCTTGGCGGGCAGCCTGCTTCCCTTCCTCTCTCTCTCTCTGCCTGTCTTTCTGCCTACTTGTGATCTCTATCAAATAAATAAATAAAATCTTAAAAAAAAAAAAAAAAGAAAAGAAAAGAAGCAAGAAGGGTCTCAAATATACAACCTAACACTACACCTAAAGGAGCTGGAGAAAGAACAGCAAAGAGAGCTTTTCCGCTAAGATCAGTAACTCGGCAGGGATGTCCATTATCACCACTGCTATTCAACATAGTAATAGAAGTCCTAGCCTCAGCAATCAGACAACAAAAAGAAACTAAAGGTATCCAAATCAGCAAAGAAAAAGTCAAACTATCACTCTTTGCAGATGATATGATACTTTATGTGGAAAACCCAAAAGACTCCACTCCAAAACTGCTAGAACTTGTACAGGAATTCAGTAAAGTGTCAGGATATAAAATCAATGCACAGAAATCAGTTGCATTTCAGCTGCACAACAAGACAGAAGAAAGAGAAATGAAGGAGTCAATCCCATTTACAAGTGCACCCAAAACTATAAGATACCTAGGAATAAACCTAACCAAAGAGGCAAAGA